TGGATTATGAAGCTGTCAGTTTTAATGCACGATCCCGCCCAAAAAAAGGGTATTGGCCAGTATTCAGAGTCATTCCCCCCCTGCAGGGGGACTTTAAAAAGACAGGTTGGCAAGCCTAAAAAGTTAAGCTAAGCACATCTCCCAATTTTAACATCAATATACCACCTGGGGAGACCCTTTCTCTCTGCAACGTGGATCTGCTTACAAACCAAGGCGTATTGGCAAGTAACTTAACCCTTTAACTTCCTTCCTATTATCTCTTTGCTGTGTTGTGGGTCTTTATATACATATATACATATATCTCTTAGTTACATCTCTTTGTAAATATTTATTGGACCTGTTTGACTCTTTTAGTAATAAATTTTTCTTTCTGAAAGTGTTAAACTGTTTTTTAGCGCTTACTTGCAATTCACGAATTCCTGCCTTTGAAGAGACGCTACTGTTTGTTTTATACTCTGTATAACTGGACTGCGGACTGTGTTTCACAGACCATTATTTCAATCATTATAGTGTAATAATTGATAAGGAGAGTTTCCCCTTTCTCTGTACAAAAGTGGTGGTAGCAGTAGAGGGTTAGTTGCGTAATAAACCCGACCCAGTAACAAAGTGCGTTCAGGCTGCAGGCACCGATTGTATCCATTAGCTGGAAAATCGCTGTGCAGGGTTCAGCTGGGTGTGGCCTTGTTGCGCGCGTCACATCGCGGTTTTAGATCGGCCGGTCCTTCGGTCACGAGTTTGGTGAGAAGGTCAGGGTCTGACGCCGCAGTCGTGATGTATTGTTGGTTGTGGTCTTGCGATTGTCGCATGTTGGTGGCGGCGATCGGGCGACTGTGACAAGGGGCATCTCATGGGGCCTCCTACTGACCCTGGGCCCTCAGGCAGTGCCCGAGTTTCCAAATGGTCAGTCCGCCCTGGTCTGCAAGCAGGGGCTGGTAGTGATGACATCACCAATAGGCTCTCATGGCCCATGTCAGTGCTCCTTCCTCTCCTCTGCTGACACCAGGGAGCCAGATCACGTGACTGGAACAGAGCAGGCTGAAAATAGGTAAGTACATACATCTTTCTTAAGTTAGTCAGCATAGGTTTTGCATGGGGAGGGATGCATTTTTAAGACTTTTTAGGTTATGCCTGCAATTCTACCTTAAGTATTATTAGTGAAAAATTTAAATAAACAAAAAGCTTTAAAAATATAAAAAGGGGAGAGGGGAAGGAAAGAGTTAAGCCATAAATAGGGTTATCAAGAGTTTATATAGGAACACAATTTAATGATGAATTTGTTTTGCTTAATTTTATAAATAAATCAGTTAATAAATAAACTGATACATTTTTTAAAGTGACTCTAAAATTACATTTCTATTATTATAAAGAATGACAAAAATATTTATAAATTAAATAAAAACATTTTTAATGCATCACTGAAAAATTAAAACAATAAAGAAAACTAAAATAACAAAAAAGCTTAAATAGTAATAATAAAAAAAAAAAATAAACAAAAAAAAAGCAGAAGCAAGATAATAGTTAATAAAAAAAAATGTGAGGAAGTAGTTTATTAGGGTTGAGTTGCGTTAATTAAGGTTTAGCAAAGGGTTAAATAGGAACACAATATATGTATCTAATAATTTTTATACTTGATCAGCAAAGGTCACTTTAACTGATATCATGTGCAGCTCAAAGGTCAGCTCTTTGATCTATGAATGAGACATTTTATTTTTTTACAATATGTGTACATCATAAATTTTCTTGACACTGTTCTGCTAGTTTCAATTTAGATATTATAAGTGTAAATAACACCGGCACTGCGCAAATGTTCCAAACATATAAATTACACTTACACAGCGCCACAGACTAAACACTTAAATGTGCAACTGTGTAAAAATATCATGCTTACAAGAAAAATGCTTGCTAAGTGTAAATATTAAAAAAAATGCAATAATAAATGAATAATAAACAAAAATGTGTGGTGCTGCTGCTCCTTTAAAAATATAAAAAAAATGTCTGGAAAAAAGTACCAAATAGACAGGTGGAGCTGAAAATCCTCATACCTCCAATATAAATACATAAACAATTGAATCAAACTATACCCAATTAACAATCTTTTTTAAGAAAGTAAAAAGTAGAAGCAAGCAAAAGTCCTAAGACATCTTCCCCATTGTGTATTATGAATCACCTATAGTGTTCACATACATTCCAATAATTTCCTTCTTCATGCATTGCTTGTGACCACCACTCCCTCAATGTGAATGACTCACCAAAACTCAATGCCTCACATCTATGATGATCAGCATGCAGAGCTGAAATGGTTAATGATACCTCCACACATGCACTATATTGCCAAAAGTATTGGGCCAGCCCTCCAAATCATTGGATTCAGGTGTTCCAATCACCTCTATGGCCACAGGTGTATAAAATCAAGCCCCTAGGCATGCAGACTGCTTCTACAAACATTTGTGAAAGAATGGGTCGCTCTCAGGAGCTCAGGGAATTCAAGCGTGGTACTGTGATAGGTTGCCACCTGTGCAATAAGTCCATCCATGAAATTTCCTTGCTACTAAATATTCCACGGTCAACAGTGCGTAGAGAGCTTCATGGAATGGGTTTCCATGGGCGAGCAGCTGCATCCAAACCTTACATCACCAAATGTAATACAAAGTGTTGGATGCAGTGGTGTAAAGCACGCTGCCACTGGACTCTAGAGCACTGGAGACATGTTCTCTGGAATGACAAATCATGCTTCTCTGTATGGCTATCCGATGGACGTGTCTGGGTTTGTCAGGAGAACGATACTTTGCCTGACTGCATTGTGCCAAGTGTAAAGTTTGGTGGGGGGGGGGGATTATGATGTGGGGTTGTTTTTCAGGGCTTGGGCTTGACCCCTTAGTTCCAGTGAAGGGAACTATTAAGACGTCAGCATACAAGACATGTTGGACAATTTCATGCTCCCAATTTTGATGGCCCCTTGCTTTTTCAACATGACTGCGCACCAGTGCACAAAGCAAGGTCCATTAAGACATGGATGAGCCAGTTTGGGGTGGAGGAACTTGACTGGCCTGCACAGAGTCCTGACCTCAACCCCATAGAACACCTTTGGGATGAATTAGAGCGGAGATTGCAAGCCAGGCTTAGTGCCTGACCTCAGTGTCTGACCTCACTAATGCGCTTCTGGAAGAATGGTCAAACCTTCCCATAGACACACTAAACCTTGTGGACAGCCTTCCCAGAAGAGTTGAGGCTGTTACAGCTGCAAAGGGCGGGGCCAACTCAATATTAAACCCTACGGACTAAGACTGGGATGCCATTAAAGTTCATGTGCGTTTAAAGGCAGGGGGCCCAATACTTTTGGCAATATAGTGTATCTCATGGTTTTCTTGCTCTAGAAAGAAAGATCCTGTAAAACATTCACCTTCCGACCATCACCCATGAAAAAAGAGAGGCTCACAATAGTGCAGTACCTTTACGTCTTCAGAATTTATTAAAGTGGTAGTAAAGTCTGTGTTTACTTGTACCTGTAGGTACTGTAAATATCTCATAAACATGCACCGTTTAGGAGATATTACATGTGTAGCAGCACCGGCACATGCACTTTAATGTAACAACATATCCAGGCAGAGCTATGTGTTGTAGACATTGACTCCCATGCCAAGCCAAGGTCAGGTAGACCAAGCAAGATTGCAGCCACAACTGCCAGAAGAATTGTTTGGGATACAAAGAAAAACCCACAGGTAACCTCAGAAGTGCAGGCTGCTCTGGAAAAAGATGGTGCGGCTGTTTCAAGGGGCACAATAGGGCAACAAAAATGAGCTGCATGGTTGCCAGAAAGAAGCCTTTGCTACATCTATACCACAAAAAAGCCTGGTTACAATATGCCCGACAACACCTTTTACATACCTCACTGGGCTTTTTTGTGGCATTGGCAGAATAAAATATAAGTATAAAGTCTAAGTATAAATACCTTATTTTTGTTTTGTGGGTGATCACATGACCTCTGTTCTCAGCTGCATAAGCGGCTTGGAGAGCTGGGGATGGAGACTGCAAGGGGGTGTCAGCAGGAGGTAGAGAAACAACAGTACACTGATATTTCTAGTGAACAGCTGTGCAGGGGAGTGTATCCAAATGAGTCTGAGCACTGGAGTAGCTGGCTGTGTTCCAAAGTAGAATGCAAAGAGGAAACCTGACAACACTGGGTTGGATGCGCTTCCATGCCCTGGCGTCATCAGATTTAAAAGGGGATTGGCAGAATCATCGGGTGCTTCACACAAAGGAAGCAATGCAAAGAGATCAGGATACATTTTAATACAAGTACATGGTAACACAGACATATATCATGAAAATGAAATGTTGGGGTAACATACATTAAAGTTCAAGACTGAATAAGAGCCTTTTAATTGTGGCTTTGTACAAAGGGGTTAATATTTTTCTTTACACAGAAAGTGGCTGGTCATCATCAGTGAAACATTTGGATGTGGATCTCTCAAGCTTTGCTGGGTTTGGAAAAACATTTTCTGGTTTTGCCAGATTCCAAGATTTGTATGCCAGAGGCCTTGCAGTTGTGGGTCACTTGTTGCATGCAGGTAAGTACAAAACAACTGTTGGATGTTAAAGGGCAATATACTGTAAAATATTCAACATTTTGTTGGAGGGAATTCCTAATTTTCAGTAATAAGACTATTTATCAAGGCGACAAGGGGCAGTTTGTAAAATGTGCCCCTTTAAGCCCCTCCCACTGTCAACAATTGGACTACAGCTCCACTTTATTCCTCCTCTCCAAACCAGTTTTTTTTTTTTTTGGGGGGGGGGGGGGGGAGGTTGTCTCTAAGTGAATATTTCCTTAAAGTGGAACACTCTGCATGCTCTTCATATTAGTAGTATGTACTACCCTATTCTTTATTAACTGTACCTAGCACTTCCCATTCTAGGACTTTTGAGCATACATCAGAAGGCAGAGAACAAGAAGACTACATCACCCTGGGACAAAACAGGCATTGTGTTTCCTGTGCATATCCTTCTTCCTACCCATCACACTTTGTGGTATGTTAACATTTACTTTATTTTAAGCATAACATACATTATGCAGAGAATCTGGTATATAAAGCTCATTCAGAACATTTGCATATCAGTTACCCTGGTTTAGGTGACTGCCATATCTATAGAAAGCATCAGACCCCCTTGATCAGTAATTTTAAGGGACATCTATTGTTACCCTCAAGATAACCATGACCCATTTGATAGGAATCAATTCATTGCACTATTGTTTCCTTTAAGAAAGTGTTTTTTTCTTTCTATCTTGACCTTTATACCTTAAGTGCACTTTAAAACAAAGTTCACTTATCCCTTTTGCCCCTTTACTCTAAGCTACCCCACCATCCCCTTTCACAGATGCATACTTACCTCAGTCCATTGGCCATGGTCACCTGTGTTTGTTTATATCCTGGATGCACTTGTGCATTACAGCCCCATAAACTTATATGGGCATATCTCCTATCATTTCCCTTTGTCTCCAGCCTTGGGACACAGCCCCATAGAAGATTTCAGGCAACAATGCACAGACATGGCCAGGACATTAAATCTTCAGTGCTATATTTAAACACACACTGGAAGGCTGAGCCATTGACTCTAAGTGGGCATGTGTGGAAGGGAAGGGTGGGTTAAGTGAGGTCAGGGTGAAGAGTTAAAAGGGATAAGTGCAATTTGTTTTAAAAGGAGACCTCTCTTTAGGTCAACATTAACCAATAAAAATATAGACAGGTCACCAAATTTCAAACAAGTCCAGCACCATTATTACAATACCTACACATCTGAGGGGAGTAGTCTTGGAAAATAATCCAGCATAAATCCATTTACACTTTAGCATGTTTGATATAAAAGATACAAATCCCTCTTAAAATACTTCCTGGAAGGACCCTTCATCATCCTCGATGGAACAATGGATAGAAATGTATTTGCCTCTGGAAATCACAAAGAAGAAAGGTTTAGGAAAACATGGTTTTATGGGCATGCCTTTACAATTACTGATGAATTCTAACAGCTACTCCAGGTTTAAGAGGGATACCTGAATCCATAAAACACACTTGCACTACCCGCACCCTAACTAACCCTTGTGCCCCATAAACCGCATAAACCCATATTAAACATGAGATTTTATCCAATATTATGAAGAACCTCAAGTTGTTTTGAAACCAGTAGTTGCCATACGAGGCATATTTTTTGGACTTGTTGGACATCTCAAGGTTGTTACTCTACAGTGAAAGTTTATTTAACTGCAAGCTCTGTTTCTAGTTGTACTAGATATTCAAAATATGTACTTGATGTGCCATGCCAAAATAAGGAATTTATTTAAAAAATTAAGCAAACAACTACTTGATAAACCATGACCTGGTTTATCGGGAACCTTCACAAATGTATACAGCCCAATTCCTAAATTCACTATCCCATAGGATAGGAGCCAGTCAGCATTTACTCTGCTAAAAGTGTTACTTGCACTTTCTGTAGAAAAAACAAGTAAACACTTATCTGTCCCTAGGCCTGAACTGCTAATGTTTGCTCTGATATGAGCTTCCACTGCAGAAGAGTCTTCACTTTTGGCTGTGTCGGATGCTTGGTTCCCTACTGTGTACTGTGGTTCCATTTGCTGGCCCCCATGTCACTATTGTATCCAGAGTAGGGATGCAGGGGCCAGTGTGAGGAACCACAGTGTGCACCGCGGGATGTAAGCATCTGATATTCTCAAAAGTGTTAGATGCGTGAGATTCTGCCAGAGGTCATAGCTCTGCAAAAGAACAATAGAATTGCCCATTCATTGGAGAAGCAAGTATTAAGTGTCTTATTTTGAGGGGTAATTTTTTTGATTTTTTGATTTTTAAAGGCAACAAATTTACCTAATAATTGGCACCTAAGAAATATAACTTTATATACTAAAGCCATCATTGTCCAATCTGATGTACTTTAGCTTTTTTTTTTTTAACATAATCTTCAAAGGTCCCTTTACAGATGTTTTAAAAATCGGTTATCAGCAGTAAGGCAGAGAATTGCAGTAACAGGCACTGAATGAGGGATATCTATTATAGTGGCCATACAAGCAGAGATAAAAAATACTTGATCAATGTTCAATTTGACTAAACTGTCCAATTGATCAATGATCAAATTCAGCAACAGGCCAAATTAGTAGATATGTCCACTGTGACTGCAAACAAAATGGTTGTCACTGAGGCTCTTAAAAGTATGGCAGACTAAAAAATTTTTGAACAGCTGCTTAAATATCAAATTTAATGTTAAATGCTGAAGTCTCTTTTAAATTTTAGCCTAGGAACAGTGAAAAATATGGAGGCTACTTGTATTCAATAGAGATATAAAACACTCACAATACTCTGTACATTCTTTAGATGACCACATGCTCCGTTACTATCACACTGGCTTGTACTACCCCGAGGAAGGTCGGTATCACTTTGAGACAGTCGGGTATGTGGATGATCAGGAGATCGATATGTACAGCAGTGAAAGTCATGTGGACATTCCAAAGACAGCATGGATGGAGGAGAATGAGGACGATGATTACTGGGAGAGGCAGACATTTTTACGCAGAGGATGGGAGAAAGTCTTTAGAGACAACTTAATGATCCTGGCCAGTCGGTTCAACTACACAAGAAGTAAGTAGTGGAACCCTTCAGCTGTTATTTTTAATATTAAAATAGTCCTTAAAGCAGTATTAAACCCCACAACTCTCCTACGCTCTCTAATCCACATCTTCAGTCTCTCCCTCTGCTCTGGCACCCTTCCCGCTTAAATTGCACTGGTTACCCCCATACTTAAAAAATGTGACTGGACCCCACCTATTTGAATAATTTAAGACCCAGTTCTCTGCTCCTATTTGCCTCCAAGCTTCTTGAATGCTGTGTCCACAACCGTATGAGTTGCTACCTCCCCTTCTCAATCCCCTAGTCTGGCTTCTGCCCACAACAATCCACTGAAACTGCCCTACTAAAACTCACTAATGACCTACTAATGCTAAAACCAACGGCCATTACTCCATAGTCATACTTTTAGACCTTTCCTTTTTAGACACCTGGTCCTTTTCAATAAACTCCACTTCTTGGCCTCCATACCCTGCTCTTCAGTGTTCTCCTCTTACCTTCAGTGTCCTCAGTTTACCTTCAGTCACCTACAACACCATCTCCTCCGTTCCTCTCATACTTTCTTTTGGGGTTCCAACCTCAGGCCCCTCCTATTCTCTCTCTTACTACACCTCTTCCCTGGGCCAGTTGATAACATCCCACGGCTTCCAATAGCACCTCTACACGACTTCCAATAGCACCTCTACATGACTTCCAATACCACCTCTTGCTGTAACTGATTGAAAATTGTTAGCTGTAATTTGTTGTCCTTTTAAATCTGACAGATAATGCTGCTGTCCGAATGTGTGTCTGTTGCTCCTCTAGTGGACTGGAGACATCCTACGACAGAAAGTGTGTTACTGGACAGATCAATGGTTGAAAAACCCTAAAACCCCTTTAAGTAGATTTGGTGTATTATTGGAATGTTATTGTCTTACATTTATATTACATTGGAACTCTTGCTCTCTACAGGGTCCCACACTCTCCAGCTCAGCTATGGCTGTGTAATGCATGATGATGATGTCAGCAGTGGATATTATCAGTATGGCTTTGATGGGAAAGACTTCTTGACATTCCATACAAACACCTTGCTGTGGATTCCTTCCATGCAGAAAGCAGAGATCAGTGCTCAGAGGTGGAACAGTGACAGTGACATCGGTAAGGGTGTGAAATTCTACCTTACTGAACACTGCATAAGTGCTCTCAAGAAGTACATTGTCTATGGGAGAGAAGATCTGGAGAAGAGAGGTGAGAATAAAATCTGTAACAGTCTGAGATTCCTCTACTGTGATACAGGCAGATCTAGTATCAAACTGAAGATTAACTTAGAGCCAATACATTACTATACTATGGATTTTACTATACTGTAGATTCCTTCTAAGGTCATCAAATATTCTGTTCAGTTCAGTTTGTGTAAGTTCCTAATATTTGCCTTTGTAGTCAGTTGCCACACACCATATAAAAGTCAAAATGACAGTTGCAGTGAGAAACCTCTCTCTCTAAACTCCAACATGGAAGAGTTCTATATGGGTGAACTTTCTAAAGCCCAATAATAAACCAGCAGAAGAATAGAGGTTGTTGATTAGAGGCCTAATATTCTGGAGCCTCCGGGGCTTAAACCCAACCAATAATCATTAAAGCATTCTGAAGTATAGAAAATTACATCATCTTTATTGGGTTAATAAACTCACATTTATTTATGCAACCAACCCTCCACCACCATTAAAATAAGACAAGGTTGTCTTCACATATGAGCAGCCATCTAGATGTCACTCATTCATCCACTTAACCTCATATATAGCTTGACCAATTCTCATGAATACTCTAAATTTCAAGTCTATTTCTTACCGTGAATGGTTACCATACCAGTTAATATTTTATTCATAGCTGCAGATTTTAAAATCTTGAAAATTACTTTTGAAATTACATTTAAACAATAAAGATAATGAGATTTTAGAGGTTGGGTTTACATGTACCTTAAAGCTCTGTGAGGGCATCATAAGTGCATTAATATTCACTAATAGTCCAAAGACTTGTGCCTGTTGTTTACAGACTTTCCATTAAAATGAATAGAGATAATTGTGGTAAAAGGCTGTGAAGTAGTGGGCACATAGAGAAGATCTAGCAAACTAGGAACAGGTTAGTATTGGCCCTGCACGTGCAGCGGGGCTTACTAGGGATAAGTGCTCAAATATAGCATTCACTTTTTACCTGTGCACTTAAAGGACATGTTCCTCAGCTGCCATTTCAGGCACTGCTTCTTCCAAGCTTGAACTTTCATTGACCAAGTTGGAAAACTTCTGAAGCAGTAGCTGTGTATAGGCCTCTGAGCCACGAAGTGAATATCTTGCAGGAGCAGAGACATATAAGATTTTGGAGGGATGCTGGAGAATGGGGCTTTGAAAGGATATCCTTTACCAAAACTAAAAATGGTTTCACAGTTATTAGGGAATACAAAGGTGAATGGCAAGTACATTTTTGTTCACCTGCCCAGAGGCCCATACTGTTCTGATAAACTGCTTTTATTTTAAAATAACTATTTATGACAACATTTGTGTAGGGGAACTGCCAAAGTTGGAGTAACGCTAGTCTAAATTTAATGTTTGCAGCTAGGCTATAGTCAGCCTGAGCTCTGATTGTTAATGTTTTCTGCATTCATTGGGTTTCCCTTAAAGTGTTACTAAACCCCGGACCCTGCATTCACTATATCTGGTCTCCCACAGAACATGAAAATGTAATTATTTTAGTACATATAAAATGCTACATACCTTTTCCCATCAGCAGTTAGAGCAGTCTTGCGACTTCTATTAGTGTCCAGCAGAACACTGGTTAAAGCTTGTAGGAGGAGTTTTCTGTAGGAGAATGCAGAACCTCTGACCTCTGTCTGGGCAGTGCTGATTGGCCCTGTGCTGATCAGATGCACTCTTCCAAGAAAAAGAAAAACCTCTCTACCAATACACACCAAATTGAGCATGTGCAGTGTCTCCACATCATCAGGAGATAAGAAGGGGCTACTGGAATGAGGGGAGGAACAGAGAAGAAAGGATCAAACAGTATTTTTGCACAATGCAGATGATTAACCCCTTAGGTTCCACAGGGAGTATAACAAGCATGCTTTACTGCATATACAGACTGATTTTACTGTTGTGGGTTTAGTAACAGTTTAAGATCAAAGTATGATTTGCTTCTGCCTGTTGCAGGAGAGTGTTCTCCCATAGATAGAACAAGAAGAAAACAATGTTGGGGCGTTATGAATAGTTATTTAATTCGGCCAGTGATATGGGCTGGGGAAGGAGATACATATTGTTATGGACCTGCCGGCAGTAGCCTCTAGCGTTCCACAGACCGGAATTCCCCAAGGCGCAGAATCTAAGCCCTGACCTGCTTGTTCACCAGGGCCCCTGATGGTGGGGATGGACTTGGAGAAGGCCCAAACCAGGACGCGGTGCACCCAGCTGTGGTAGAAGCACTTACCGGAGGTGTATAGCAGGTGAGAGCCTGATGTAAGGAGGTAGAGAGAGAGAGTGGAGTCGGGCAGGCTCGGTCGGTAGCGGTGGAGGCAGGACGGCACAAAACAGTAGACAGAAGGATAACTGGTAACAAGCCGGGTTCGGTAACAGGAGATCAAAACGCGCAGGATTAGACAGGAGAATGGTCAGACAAGCCAGGGTTCAGAGCAGGAGACAATCACCAAATCAAGGTCAGGCAGGGTCGGCAACAAGGCAATCTAATTCAGGAAACACAGGATACAGGTAAGACCATACTGCAATTGGAGTGTAGATCTGACCTGTTTAAATATGGTGCCCTGCGCCCTCATTGGTGCCAGGTGCGCGTCCGCGATCGCGAGTGTGCATGTGCGACCGCCGCTGCCGTCGCGGGTGCCCAGGTCCTAAAGCTCACATGCTAATGCGGCCTGGCACACCGCGCATGCGCAGACCCGCGCGCGATCGCGGAAAGATCTGGATTCCCTGACACATTTTATGGAGCTCTTCTAGAAGGGTTTTACCTGGAGAGGATGCAAGTTAAGTGAACCAATCTGTGCCTGCCCAGTTTTGTCTGGGGAGGAGGTCCACTGTGAGGAGCCTTTTTGTGCCTTCCAGGTCTGCTGTCAAGGGAGGCCTCATGAGCTTCAGAATTAAGTCCTTAAAGTTTGGAAATGGACCTATGCTATGGCCTGGAAGAAATAAATGTGGCTAGATTAGGGGAGTACCTTCAGAAAGCTTGCTGTGCGTCTAAAGGTACACAATGAAGAACTGCTGGTCTCAGCTTAAAGGCACACCTTTTGATTTTTGAGAGGGTCTGAAGGTATTTGAGCAGGAGTACTAGTCGCTATTTGGGGTATCCTGTAAAATCTATTCCTATCTCCCCTGGACACTTAACCAATAAAACCTACAACAGAGATTAAAAATATGGATTTTGGTCATTTGGACACTGCTTGTGGGTAGGAGAGTGATTTTGGGCAGCTAGAAGGCTTAATTCAGCAGCTAGTATAGTTGGATGCCAGTCACATAATCTATTAATTATGCCTAATGAATCATCAACTTAGATAAGCTATAAAAAAAATGTTCTTTGTACCTTTCAGTTGCCCCAAACGTGAAGATCACAAGTCAGGAATTTCATGGAACTGCAAGACTTCATTGCCTGGCGTACGGGTTTCACCCCCGAGATGTGGATGTGAAGTGGATGAGGAATGGGGAGGACCATGTTCCTTCAGATGAAATGACTCCAATTCTCCCCCATCCTGATGGCACCTATCAGATCAGAGTCAGTGTGGAAGTGCCAACCAAGGAGGGAGACACTTACTTCTGTCATGTGGACCACAGCAGCCTGGAAGAGACTCTCACTGTGAAATGGGGTGCGTGTTTTAATTGACACCTGTCAGAGACATACTGTACTTAATATATGTTAAGCAAATGTCCTAAAATAAACCATATGGCCACAAATTTGTGAATTCTGATCATCACGCCTGTATGAGCTTGTTGGACATTCCATTTCAAATCCACGAGCAATAATAAGTAGATGTCCCTTCCCTACCTTTGCAGCTATAAGAACCTCTATTCTAATGGGAAGGCTTTGCACAAGATTTTGGAGCGTGTCTGTGGGAATTTGTGAGAATTCAACCAAAAAAAAAAGCATTTTAGAGGTTGGGTTCAATGAGAAGTCCTTGTGGGGCTGGCAAGAACCCTGGGGTGCCTTGAAGTTTCTTCAGGGGTGCCTTTGCAAAATGTCTAAAAAATTGCCCAAAACTTGTATACAAACCAGCAGGTAGGATAAGCCTGCCTTTTAGTTACACAAAGCCACAGGTTTTCATTGTGCACCATTACGACTTTCTACCCGCTGGCATCCTGACAACAATGACATCATCAGTTGATAAGGAAGATGTCTGCCTGCGCAGCATCCTAGTTTGCTCCTCCCCTGCCCCTCTCCATCAGTGCTGGGGTCACATCAGTTCCGTGATGGAGAAAAACTGAGGGAGAAGAGAAACATTGGCATACTAGTCAGTACCCGTGTGCAAAAGTGTGTTTGCTTTGGAAGAATAAATCACCTCTAACGTTGGGTGTCCTACATGTGTGGATGTTGCTGCATTATTTAAAACTATTAGTATAATTTTTCACATTTTAGAAAGGGGTGCCCTTTTAAAATTATGGACTGGAATGGGGTGCCTCAAGACTGTCCATAATTTTAAAGGGTGCCTTGACTGAAAAAAGGTTGAGAAACACTGGTCTAAAATACCTTTTATATGATGTAGCATAGACAGTATCCTTCAATGGAAACACTTGAACCTTTAGGCATATAGTAGGTGCTGTGCTTCAGGGTGCACACACTTTTGCTCATATACTTTTAACATTACCAATGTTTCTGAGAGGAGAAAACAATCAATACAGTAACCTTTAATTGTAAAGGTTCAATATTGCCACACTCCAGTTATAAGAAACCTGGGAAATATTGAAACCAGTCATATCACGTGACATCCAACTTTCCATTAAGCAGTAGATATGTGCAGAACGGAAAAATTAGTTTAGTTTTGTTTCAGATAAATTTGTTAAGTCACTAATTT